ACTATTTGCGTGTTGGCTGAGTCTGGCTGCAAGTCCTTGTAGGAAAAGAAGGCCTAACAGTGAGCAATTACCTTCCTTTGATTAAAACCTTCTAGTTAGCTAGTCTAAAATAAAGTGGAAATTTTTTGGTGGACCTTACTCCACGGAAGGATGAAAAGAGGTTTACCACTGAAAGAACAGAACAAAAAGCAGCCTTTTTAAATGTAAAAGTTTATGGAAAATTCTGTGACCATGTAAAAATAGTTATTCTGCTTTCCCTAAGACTTCAGATCCTTCTCTTCTCTGTTTCTTTATCCTTATTTTTTGCTGGTGGACATAAAGTAGTTAGTAGCAAAGGACAAGAGTGGATTTTCCCATTTCTTACAGAAAGAAAAGCTTCTGAAAAATACAAGATATAAAAATGAAACTTGCCCTGGACTTGTGCTGGAAATTTGAATACAGTGACTCAGAGCAAATGAAGGGTCATCAAGAAGTACAAGGGTCTATGTAGTTATTTCAGAAGGTAAAACCTACTGTTTTAAGTTTCACCTATACACATGCAAATAAAGTTAAACAAAAAGTGTTCATGTAAAACATCCAATGAACAACTGACTTTTAAATTACTCCAAGTTGTTGCTTCTCTGTGAAGAAATGGATTTCTCCCTCTGCTTTTTAGAACTGGTCCCCAGCTGATGATGGGGTATGTTTAAGTTTTTTTTCAGAAGTTTCTGCATTCTCTATTTGGTCTAAAACTCCCATCACTCATCTCTTATTATGCCATAACATCGCTTTTTTGGGTAGCTGGAGCTATTTTCAAGACCTTGGTGGATCACTATTGGCAAGATTGTTCTCTGCATCTTGATTCTAAAAGTTTTAAATGCCCAGTTGCTCATCCAGATGCATTTAGGAGCTTTGAAATTCCACTGCTATGCTTTTGAGCAGGTTTTGAAACCTTTTTTGGATCATAGTAGCTACAGCTTTAGCTAAGCCTCTCCTTCATATGTCTTACAGCTGAACCAGGATACTGAGCATTTTCTCTTTTGGGTCATCCATGAGTCTGCAAATTCTAAGTGCTATACAAGAAACACACTCAATGAGTAGGATCCACAGGGCTGATCTCATATAAAGACCTGGTTAGCATTTTGGGCTGCAGATAGCTGCTGCTAGGAACCATCCAGATGGGTACCCATTGGTGCTATACTGAGCTCTCCCTATCCCTGGAGACAGGTGCCCCAGACTGCCTCCACTTCTACGTCCTACCGCTTTTTTTGTCACGGAAGATCCCAGAGGTCAACCTTGCCACAGTTTCTTTGAGAGATAACCACTTTCTCCTTTATTGCCAAAACAGGGATTTTGAAACTGATATTTCAGCCCACATACACACAGTCACCTAGCCAGGCTGCCTTCTTTTATTTCTAATTTCAGCAACACTGACTAGAAGATCCAGCTTCTCCAGTCCTCTCTTCTATCCCTCCAATACTTCACACCTCTCACTACAGCCTTGTTTTCATTCCCCTCAGACTGGTATATGCCACTTACCAAAGAGGAGGCAAAAATGTCAGTGTGTCAGACTGACAATTGCATTTAATTACCTCTGACTCTCTCTGTGCTGTTTTTGGCTGGGATAGAGTTAATTTTCTTCATAGCAGCTACTATGGGGCTATGTTTTGGATTTGTGCTGAAATCAGTGTTGATAACACAGGAATGTTTCTGTTACTGCTGAGCAGTGCTTACACAGAGCCAAGACCTCTTCTGCTTCTCACTCCACCCCATCAGTGAGTAGGCTGGGGGTGCACAAGGAGTTGGGAGGGGACACAGCTGGGACAGCTGATCCCAGCTGACCGAAGGGATATTCCACACCATACAACATCATGTTCAGCATATAAAGCTGAAGGAAGAAGAAGGAAGAGGGGGACTTTCATAGTGATGGTGTTTGTCTTCCCAAGTTGCTGTTACATGTGACGGAGCCCTGCTTTCCTGGAGATGGCTGAACACCTGCCTGCCCAAGGGAAGTAATGAATTAACTCCTCGTTTTGCTTTGCTTGTGCGTGCAGCTTTTGCTTTACCTATTAAACTGTCTTTATCTCAACCCATGAGTTTTCTCACTTCTAGTCTTCCAGTTCTCTCCCTTGTCCCACTGCAGGGGGATGAGCGAGCAGCTGGGTGAGGCTTAGTTGCTCACTGGGGTTAAACCATGACACCCCCAGCCACAGATGTTCAGAATAACAATTCAGGAATTCAACAAGGTTGTCCCCAGCTGCCTACAGATAACCAGAAATGCTGTGACATGGCTTTCAATACGATAGTTCAAATAAGCAGCCAAACTAAGCGTGAGTCCTGAACCAATTGAAGTTTGCCTTTCTTGCTAGTGTTGTGAACTGTAATTCTCCACATTTCTGGAGTGCCTTCTGCTTTAGGATGCATGACAACTTAAGACAACTTTAATCGACTCTCAACATAACTTTTTTAAGTATTATTTCCAATTCAATGGCTAAGAAAAGCACAGCATAAGATATGAAGCCATTGTCCACGTGCACAACAATAAAGAGAAATTGTTGAAACAGCTCTCCTCATTTCATGAAAAGTATAGCTCCTGTACCTGCCAAAAGTTATTGTTTGTTGTTCTTTTTATCTTAATTCATAAATGAGTCAACAGCATTAAAAAAAAGAAGTGGGAATTTTTTTTAGTGGACTATCAACAGATATGAGTTGTCTCTTAAAAGGGAAGTCAAAGAGAAGGGCAAGTTGGAAAGTTTTCCAACTGCATGTCAGTGTTTCTTGGAGATGCTAAAATAAACTCATCACTTTCCAGAGATGCCACTTCAAAGGTAGTTACAAATATGTCCTCAGAAACTACAGAAAATTTAGTGCCTATAAAAAAGGGAGAGGTGGGGGAACCCCACAACCGGCAAGCAACCAATTAAAACTGTCCCTTAGGTTATGACATAAAAAGTGTTCTCCACAGAAGTAATTATTTCCAACTACATTCCAGACCCACTGAAATAAGACGACCGTTCCCAAAATAGTCTTTGCGGGATATTAAATCACTAAAAATACACAGGATATTTCAGCGAGTGTTTTGTTCATCAGGAAAACGGATAAGCCTAAGGGCTTCAAGAAGGAGAAATATCTTTGCTTCTTCCTCTGGGGGAAGGGGTAGCTTTTCCTACACACTTAGTTCCTAAAAAGCCATGTGTTTATTTCAGCAGTAGTGTTGGTCCATGTTGTGAGGCAATGTTGCAAGACTGGGAGCTGATCATGCCTCTCCTTATGCAAAGCAACGGCCATTTCCTCTCTCCTTCAATCCAGGCTGGGAAAAGGAAGATGTGTCTCCTCTGGAAAAGACATAGTGAATTTGCAGAGTCCACACAAGATGGGTCTACACCAGGGAACACAAAGAAACATTTCCAGTAGTCTAGCTAGTACCATAATAGTAGTGATGATGCTGCATGAGCCCTACCTCAGAGAACACTCTGCCGGTGTAGTCGATGCATTGATGTCCTTCGAGCAATCAATCTTGCTGCTGTCAGTGGAACTCCACCAGAAGCTGAATTTAACAGTTTTAATTACTCCTTATTTTCCCTGTTTTATATCTTATTTGCCTAAGAATGTTGTTTTATCTTTTAAGTGAAACTGATGACAAACAATTAAACCACTTTCCTTCTTATCTAGGTCTAGTAGTACAGCTTAATGCCTCCATATTTTAGTTTTCCCAGTTATTTCCCTATAGCATTTATGATTACCTCACTCTTGTATTGATCCTCTTGTTCCTCTCCTGGTTGGTTTGTTAGTTCATTTATTTAAAACCAAAGATATATACGATATTGAACAGGGAAACACACAAACACACGGCTCCAACCTGGTTCCAGATAATATGCAACACTTTCTGATGGTCTTGGTAAATCTATCAGAGGAAAACATGCACAAAATGACTAAGATATTTCATCTAATGCTTTATGCAACGCTTTACAATTCTCTAAAAATCAGTGTTGATTCTTCTTCCTGAGAGAAAGACTCGACCTCATCACAGAAAGACTGAAGAAAATCAAGTGCTGAGGGAAGATTTACACGAGGACAAGGAAGCTACCCTAAATAAAGTGTCCAAAAGGACATTTAGCCTGCATTTGACATGTCTTGCAGGGAGGAATAAGACCACACCTCTTCTAAAGACAGTTCCAAAAGGATTTACATACAGGTGTCACCAAATGCTTTGAAACTATAATCTACTGTTAATCTGTGCTCTACTACACTATTCTCCTGAAGAGTTTTACGAGTCTGTTTTAACACCTTATCAAAAGCTTCACTTGATCTCAAAAATTGACTACATGCTTCTTCATTGAACTGCCTGAGCAGAAGGGTTCTGAATGTTAGCATGGTTTCTTCTCACAGCAAACATTTAGCACACAGAGACAAATATAAAAAGACAAGCATTTCAGAAGAATTCATCAAGAGAGAAAAAATTTCTGTGCGTGTGCACAAATGTACATGTAATACATTTAAGATGAGCTTGACCACTATATAGTGGTTCAAGAAGACTCTGCTACAACACTTTCTCACAGAGAAACAGCACAGCTCTTACAGAAGAAGAATTCTTCCAATATAAATTGAGAAGTTCCAGTGCACAGGTCCTGCCTGCACGAAGGTATCAATAAACTAATCACAAAAACCTAACCACAGCTGAACAAATGTTACTTGACCAATTACCAGCTGACACTCTGTACATGCCTCTGTACAGTTAAGTTGCTGGAAATAAAACGTAAAAATATTATTTAGCCCAAAACGTACTCACTGTTCTGAACAGCTCATATGCCTGTGGAGTCCCTTCCAAGCTTAAGAGCCTGAAGTCATGCAGGGGCTCCCTGAAGCAGCATTTATCTGGTCACACACATCTAGATGACAGCACTGTTGTTCTCATTAGGATGACAACTGCTGGTACTGACAAGTGACTCCTGAAATGCTACTCCTTGCTGAAGCATCTCAGTTTTGAATGATAGGGATTGGAAAACAATACGATATTCTCGGTAGAATAATCAGCTATTTTTTTAATTGAGAATTCATATATACAGCCTGTGGAACTCTGTGCAAATGGATGCAAACAAAGAGCTTCATGTAATACAGTGCCTTTTGGACTGATCTCACAGTTACTTATATATACACCGTCATGAATTGCTTAGTGCAATTCCCCCCTCCCATGTCTGTTCCTGACACTGCATCAAAAAATAAGACAGTCCAGCCTGAGACTTTTTGTTTTCTTCCTGCAGAGGCACCAAAGTAGGCTTGCTCAGTCACTCTGTCTTGAGACGGATAGCCTCCCGCCGTTGCTTCTGAACAGTCCTGGAATCTTCCCACAGACGGGGTCCTCTGATGTTCTCCCAGTTATTCAAATCAGACTTCTCCAGCTTCTGCAGATAAACAGCAAAAATAACAGTGTCACCTTGACAGTCTCATGATTTAAAGTATGTATTATTCTAAATTGTCTTCTTTCTGCATAAGAAACTCAGTATCACTATTGGGTTGATGAACTTTGATCTACCCTGCAAAAGAAGGTCAACAATGAGGAAAAAAAAAATTTGGGAGTTACCCATATAGCTACATAAATGACTAGGGTGGGCATTACTGCATCTGCTTATCAAAAGATAAATAACATGTAGGACAGGAAGCGCTACAGCATCTGAACACGACCAAAGATATCTTTCATTCACTTTTTCTTTCTTCTCTCGTCCTATTTTCCAGATCCGTTCTTCAACTGCAAGTCTGCCAAGTACTGAAGTAGCAGAAGTGATAAGCATTGGTATAGCTCAAACAGAAGACTAGTAATTAGTGACTTGAATTATCCTGTCAGCACAAAGCATAGTGGAAAAGATGAATTATCTAGCACAAAGACAGACAGTAACAGTGCAATTCCCTTCAACACACGTGGTTTTAACTTGAGAGAGGTATGCGATACTTTCTGCTGCCTAGTTTCTCATGACACCCAACCATCACAGATTGGTCTCTCACTAAGTCACACATGAGACAGGCTAACTGACCAAACTGTCAGATACTTAATCACTGTCTAGATTTTAATTACCTCCTTGCCTGTTCCTATAGTCTTCACTCAGAAGTACCAATGACTGCAGTATTTATCCAGCCTTAGAGGTGGACAAAAAATGAAGAGTAGGTGCCCTCCTGACCTTACCTACCAAGTGCTGCAGGTGAAGAAGACAAACACATACTGCATCTTCACAGTCCTACTGGCAGAGACATAGAAGTCCCTTCCCAGTAGACACAGACCTCAAGTCTCACACACCAGCCTGCAGTGTGGAACAGTACATCAGACACGAAGGGGCTCGGTCAAAAGGAGACTGAGGAGGGGGTCTGCACTACTACCAGAAACAGGGCTGTTCTACATGCTACTGAAGAGGGTAATGCTGCATACCATTAATGACACGTACTGCAGTGGGATTTAAACCTCCGATTTGTGATCAGGGCCTCATCTCAGCAAATGCTGTAAAAATACACCAGAAAATACTTACCTCTGCCCTGAGCCTGTGGTCTAATTTGCCTGCCATCAATCATTCAAATAAATGGCAAATACTGAGGGACTTGAATAATAGTCACAGAATAATTCAACAGCTACAACAGGACAGACCTGCTGCTATTACTTCACATTCTGCAAAAGTTTTCTGCTACTTCTATGACTGAGGAAACTGCAATGAGGTTAGTCAGATATCAAAAGAAATTAGGAAACATTCAACAGAAGATATATGAGAACACATGCACAAACATAGCAGACTTTCACAAGGTAGGAGCAACTGAATTTTTTGTACAGTGGAGTTGGCATAGGTCTTTCTGAAGAATTGTCTTCACTACTTTATACATCTTATGATTAACTGGTATTTCATTTCAACTGGAAGGGATCTGAGCTGACATAGAAGGGAGAAGGAGGGAAGGTACCCATCATTCCATGCAGCAGTGACTATCCACTCTGATTGCAAATTCAGAATTTAACATTTGATTCTAATGGAAGCTTCAAGGAAACAACACTGAAAATAACCTTGTGCTTTAACAGAAGGGAAGCAGGCTGATTTTATGACATACAAAGTTACCACACAGCTGTGAGGATCTAAACTATTCCCACAGTTGCTCAGCTCCCAAAGTCTGAACAAGAATCAACATTTAAAATGCATACAACAAAACTTGTAGTATCTAAAGATAGGCTATATAAAGAAGTCTATCAAAAGAGACATGCATACTGCAGAACTTTACCAAAAGTGCGTATTAATCTGCCCCTGAAATTTCACAAAGGCCTCTCAGAGAGGAGATTTGTCCAAAACAGGAAGTATTTCAAAACTATACAATCTAAACAAACCAGTACAAGAAAGCATTTTGGCAGATTCCAATGGATAGCATCAAGGTACCTAGAAAATACACTGTGATATACTGACAGAATAAACCAACCAAGGGTTATGTACAGTAAATGGCACTGCCTCAAACTACAGAACACATGAGATCTATTGACAGAATTAATTTTTGTCAATTAAAATATAACAAATTAAATATTCTAATGAATACATAGAGAGACTGTATTTTCATTTTTCACTCTCATTGTAGTTACAGAAATCATTAACATTTTATGTCATGTATAAAGACTGTGATTGATACCTTGCTGCAATTCAAAAAGAAATCACCTTCCTTACTAGCACATGACAGTATCTGCAGAAATTAGTAGTTTACAGGACAGGTATCTGTTCAGTCACTAGAAGGCAGCATGATTAGACAATCTAGTTTTCTAAACTGATGTTATCAAGTTTTGAAAGGATAGAGGACTCCTGTTGCATGTCGATAAGCATAAGGAGTATCACCAGTGAAATGGGACTTTAAAATCTGTTCTGCAACGCTTTGCTATTATACACTATTTTCACATGTATCTACCTGTGTTAGTTCTGACTGGGATAGAGTTAGTTTTCTTCATGGTATCAAGGAAGAGGCTATGTTTTGAATTTGTGCTGAAAACTGTTGATAACACAGGGATGTTTTTGTTACCTCTAAGCAGTGCTTATACAGAGCCAAGGCCTTTTCTGCTTCTCATCCCACCCCACCAGTGAGTGGGCTGGGGGGGCACAAGGAGTTGAGAGGGGACACAGCTGGACAGCTGACCCCAGCTGACCAAAGGGATATTCCATACCATGCAATGTCATGTTCAGCATATAAAGCTGAAGGAAGAAGGAGGAAGGGGGGATGTTCAGAGCGATGGCGTTTGTCTTCCCAAGTCACCGTTACACATGATGGAGCCCTGCTTTCCTGCAGATGGCTGAACACCTCCCTGCTGACGGAAGTAGCAAACGAATTTCTCGTTTTGCTTTGCTTGCATGCACAGCTTTTGCTTTACCTATTACACTGTCTTTTATCTCAACCCACGAGTTGAGATAAACCCGATTCCCTCCCCTGTCCCACTGGGAGGGGAGCGAGCGAGTGGCTGAGTGGGGCTTATCTGCCAGCCTGGGCTAAACCATGACACTACCTCCCATACAACTAAACAAACCCTAACATTTTTGCTTGGTCACTGACATGAAAATTCTTAGAACAGTTTCACTCCAGAATAAATGGCGACATTAGACGTAGACCAAAGACACATACATAGCTACATGTTTAATTAATCTTAACGCCAAGAGTAAGACCCAACTGAGAGTCCTTCTATTGATTACATGCTGCAAGGTTGCACAGCTCCTTCACAGTGCCTGAGCTGTACAGTGAGAATCAGGCAAGCAGCTAGTTCTGCTCCCACAAGAAGTCGAACCTCTTTCATTCAAAGTGACTGGGCCTTTTTACTTACTTATTTTATTTCTTTTTTTCTTTTTAGTTACCTGACTCTGCCCATCTAACTTCATGGAGACATCACATAAAGATGGTAAACTACTTCCAGCTTTTACTAAATTGAAATCCATACGAACTGGGAGCTTTTTCTCCCAATTCAAATGTACTACTAAGTAGTCAATCATTGGAGACTACAATGAAATGTAATCAGATCAGAGCAGCACCACGATTCCTGCTTGTCTCAAATAGCCCAAAGGATATTGAAAATTAGCTGTTTAAAGTAAGATCAGTGTAGTCTATTAAATCTACTGATTCACTTCCTAAATCAGCTAAACTGCCTCTTAAAAGCACAGGACTGACAGAAGCTGTAAATTCAAGAACAAAATGCAGCTATGCAGAGAGGCACAGCGAACCAAAAAAAAAAAAAGTTCTACTGTTTGCCACACACTTGACTTTTAAGACTTTTGTTAAACAGCTTGCCTGGCGCAAAGGTACCAGTAAAGACATAAAGAGACCTTCACTTTTTAATTGCTTGTTCAAATGCCTGGTTTGATATTAAGCAAAAGCCATAATCCTCTGTCAGCCTTAAAATAAAGTAAAATTTTTAAAGGAGTTTGAATTCTACTCTTGCAGGATAGACTTCATGCCACACTAAAGAAACCGAAATCTGCAGATATTCCTTCAGAGCTATTGGTGCTCAGGCTGAGTTAATTCAAGGTGGTCACTTACAAAAAATGTCTGACTTTAGTCTCTGTTTCCCACATGTGAAAGGAAGGATAAGAAAATCCTGTGTACTTTACACCTTGATGCAATAAATTCTGTGATGAGCATCACAGAAAGAAATTACTCTAATTCAGAGAGAATTATTTCCCATCATTATAGTAAGCAAACCCATTCGAAGATAAAAGATGAGCCAAGGAAGAACATCCTCATGGGTGAAAGATGCAGTGAAAGAAATGTATTAAACCAGTCTGTTTTTGCAAGAGTGTCAAAACAAGTTGAAGACCATAAAAGATATATTGAGAAACTCTATGATGATGTACAGATGCAGAAGGTATAGAATTAAGGCTAACACTGAATATACTGTCTTATGCATGACTGAAAATCTTAACTTTACCATCATACTGATATAGCCTTATTGTTTTTTTTACAACTCTTT